TGTATACCCCGGCCTGGGTGACACAGAGAGATCTTGTCTCAACAAAAAGGTCTGGGTGAAAGTTCTAGGTCCAGCACCCCCATCACGCCTCATCTCTCCATAGGCAAAACGACCCCAGAGACATGTATTAGCATTCTCATTATTATAGATGGAGAAACTGAGGCACAAAGATGGGAAGTCCCGGGTTAGCCTGATCCCCAAGACGAGCTCTTCTCCACACAGCACATGCTGCCTGCACTCAAGATCTGCTGTCCATAGTCCACTCTGGAAATGCCCACAGAGCAGAGCGGGTCTGGCATTCTCTTTCTGGGAGCGTGACTTCAGTGGCCGATGTGCGGGCACATGTGTGTACACACATGGCCTCACATGCCACCCAGGCTTCATGGCCACATCCAGCCCCCAGCCTCCAGTCATCTCAGGTTATCAGACCCCCAGGCCAAACCCACATCTCCCTGCACCTGCCTCCCCAGGGGACAGGCCACAGCCATCCAGTGCAAGGCTCCCAGCACCCCCCTCGCCCCCACCGCCAATCAGCTTACTCCTGCCCAGCTACTTCTTCCTCTCATCCCCATGGCAACCCCCCACTTCAGCTCCCCCCACCTCAGCCCCCCCCACCTTTGTTCTTAACCTCTGCCAGCCTCCTCTGTGGTCTCCCTGCCTCTAAGATCCCCCCTTCATCCTCACTCCCAAGAGCAGCCGGGGTGATTCCCAGATTGCATCACTCTGCAGCTCACACCCTTTCTCTGGAAAAGGCCTCAATGTAGTAGAGTCCCTCCCACTCCCTGCTCTGATCCAACAGTGCCCTGTCACTCACTGTCCCTGAGAGAACTCTGCAGCTTCCCTCCACACCTCTGCACGTGGGTTCCCCCAGCCTGGAACGCCCTCCTGTCAAAACTCTCCTTAGCCTTGAAAGCCCTAGCCAGAATCACGGTGGGTGCCCCTCCCCGGTCCGCACCTTGGCTTGCAGGGTGCCTCCCCCTCGTGGGCCCCGTCCGGGCACTGGCCGAGACCACAGCTGCACCCCACGTGGGCGGCTGCTGTGCCTCTCGCTCGCTGCCCACCAACTCTGTAAGTGCCTCGGGCCACGGGTGGGACCAGCCCATCTGAGGTCCCACTTGTGCCCCATGCCTGCCATTGGGGGGTCTGGAGTGGACTGGGGGCCAGCAGGGCAGGGAAGCTGGTCTGGCTCGGGCTGGGAGCAGGGGAGGTCGTAGGGTAGGGGGCTCAGGCTGACAGCCCTGCTGCTAACAGACACATTCACTTCCATATTTTCTTTCTCCTTCCTCTGAGCCAAAGCTCATTTTCACTGCGGCGGACAAAGTGAAACCAGAGAGAGAGACCCTGGTGAGCGTGTCTGAGTGTGAACGTATGTGTGTGTGCTGTCCTGTCTGAGTATGTCTGGCTGGGCCACGTGGGGCCTGCCATGTGTTTGTAGGAGTTTTGTGTGTGAGTGTGTGTGCATGCTCACCTCTGTCTGCATTGTTTTAGCATCTGCGGTGGTGCGTGTTCAGTACTGGAGTATGTTTGTGTGTATCTGATGAGCATTTGAGTCGGTGTGTGATCGCGTGTGCTCTTAGCAGGAGGGAGCACAGCTCTGCGTGACTATGTGTGTCTGTGGCTTGTCCTCATTATCATCTGGGGTGATGGTATGTCCAAGGGTCTGGAGGTGTTCACCGGCCCAGCGGGAGGCCAGCAGGGGCATCTATGCCCTGACTGAGCCTGCTAAGCCCCCGTGGTGTCTCTCCCAGACCCCAAACCCTGCTCGGAGGCCCATCTGCCCAGGGCAGTAAGGATCAGTCTATCTTGGCTCAGATCCCAGAGAGGGACCCCAGGCTGCCTGACCCTCCAGCCATCGCACCCCCACATCCCCCAGACCTTAAAATTGCCCAGTACGGCTTCTGGGAGGCCGTCTTTGCTAAGGGCACTCTGAGGAGGGGATGGACCCCTCCTTGCCACTAGTCTTGGCAAGAGGCATCAAAGACAGGAGGGAGGAAGGGATTCTGAGTTGCTGGGGACCCTGTGTCAGGAAGCCAGCCTGCGCGCACACACACTGATGGTCTCACACACTGCCCTTCCCCACTGGCAATTCCTGGACCCCTCTAACTGAATATTGTGTCTCTACCTGGGGGAGTGGGGGGCCAGGATGTCTCCAGCCCCAAGACAGAGACACTGAGGAGGCTGTTCTGGGGGCCCCAGACCTCAGTCCCTCTTAGCTGGGTAACAGCCCCTCACCTCCCTGCAAGTCTCAGTCTAGAGCCTGGGAGAGGCGCTGGCCTCTGGCAGGGACATTCCTCAGAGCTGTCTCCAGTGTGGGGTGGGGGCCGCCTGGGCACCTAGAATACCAGCGACCTGGGGCAGAAGCAGAAAAACCGAGTACGGGAGGTGGCTAGCAAGTCGGAAATGGAAAAGAGATGGGGAGCTGACCGGGCTCCAAGTCCCCTCTCCCGTCCTCCACCACCCCGCCACAGAAGCTTTGTTATTCCCATTTTACAGGTGGGAAGCAAGACCCGGAGAGGTGAAGTGACACGCCCGGGGCCACATCTTCTTCGGGGATCCTACCGGGCACTGTCTGATGCTAGAGCCCTCGCTTCTAGAAGAGGAAGGGAGAAGGGGGCTTTATCTGGGATTCTGCCCCGGGAGAAACGGGGCGCAGGGAACCGGGATGGGCTCCCCCGCCCTAGCGCCGACCCCCTGGCCCAGGCCCCATCGCACCCCCACTGGAGTCGAGGCGCCAGCCCGCTGTCGCTGTCGGGGCTGGTGTTGGGGACCTAGTCCGGGTCCTGCCCGTGGAGCCCCCAGTCCGACCCGGGTGCCCGTCTCCCGCCCTCACCTGCAGGCGCGCCTCCGGGCGCCACTCCGGCCTCGAGGGCGGCCGGCGGCGGGCTCCGGCGGGCGCGGCGGCGCGGCGGGGTCGTCGGGTCCGGCCGGCGGGCTCCGCGTGCTCTGCCGGCCGCCCTCGCGGCTGCCGGAGTGGGCGGGCGCCGGGGGTGGGGGCGGCGGCGGGAGGGCGCGGCGGGGCGGCCTCCGCCCTCCTCTTTCCACTGCCGCGCCAGGCGGCGCCCCGCCGGCCCAGCGGCGCGCTCCCTGGCGCCCCCCGAGACCCGTGCACACACGCGCCGGGACAGCGCGGCCCCATCCATCCCGCCCCGCCCGGCGCCCGCGCCTGGGGCGCACAGGGGAGCCCCGGGGCCCCAGCCGGAGGGCGACCTGCGGGGCAGACGCCGGAGGAGGGCACGGTGCGCCACCGCAGGGCAGGGGCAGTGGGGTAGGCGCCCGCGGCGAGGCGTCCGCGGGCGGCCTCCTGCAGACGGGACCAGGTGGGCTGAGCGGGAGCACTCGCAGGGCAAGGCGGACGGGGCAGTCGTGATGCCACGTCCCGGCCGTGGGGAGGCGAGCCGGGTCGGGAGGCAGGCAGGGGCCACACTGCAGCTGGGCAGACCTCGCCGTCTCGGAAGCGGGGTGCCGCGGACACTGGAGCAGGCCAGTGCTGCGGGAGGTCTGTGCTCTAGCAGGAGCCTCCCGGCTGCAGGACGCGGGCGAGGAGCTGCCGGATCCACCCTGGCAGGCCCCGGCGAGGTGGCAGCAGGGTGGGGAGAAAGGTCGCGCGTGGGAGGAGCTGAGGGGCGAAATAGGGAGGATCTGGATGTTGGGTGAGGGGCCTAGAAGGAGGGAGGCCTCAAGGGCAGCTCCCAGGTTTCTGGTGAGGCCTGGGGGTGGGGTCCAGCAGAAGGAGGGTGGTCACCTGCAGGGAGTTGGATGAGCCTGTGGGACTTGCATGGATCGGGAAGGGAAGTAAGCTCTGGGCTAGAGAGGAGGAGCCCCCTGTGTGCAGATGGCAGCTGGTGCTTTGGGTGAGGAGTGGGCCCAGCAGGCACAGCCCACATTCTGAGGGCTGCAGAGGGAGAGCGGTGGGCAAAGGAGATCTGGAAGGTGTGTGGGGGCTGAGGGGCCGGGAGAGCCGTCTCTCGGAAGGCAAAGGCAGCGTGTTTTAGAAAGCCAGGGAGGTCCACGGGGTAGAGGGTCACAGAAGAATGGTCTTTGGGCTGGCAATTAAGGGTTGGTGGCCAGGATGGGGGACAGGAGCAGTAGCCAGACTGCAGCAGCTAAAGGAGCAGCTACAGAGGAGGAGGTGGAGGCAGAGAGTACAGTGGGGCCGTTTAGATGAACTGAGGCCGGGAGAGGGGGGTTGGGGTGAGGGTGTGTGTGTGTGTGTTTTCTAAGTGGGAAAGAGCTGAGCCCTTAACAGGTCCAGGAAAGGAGCAGGGGGGCCCCAGCTGCCTGTCTCTGGGTCAGCCCCCCACCCCATGTCTTTTCCCTCCTGCAGCCTGCCCTCCAAAGGCCTCCCACTTTGCTGTCCCCTTGCCAAGGTACACACCAGCACTGCCACTCCTCAGTGGGGCCTCTCACCCTCACCCACCCTAGAGCCTGAGCTCCCTCCATCCCACCCCCCAGAATCTCAGGTGTTTGGGTCTGGCCTCTTGGCCTGACCTGCTGGGGAGCCAGGCTGGGCCACAGCCCAAGGAAGGGGAGGGGGCCTAGTTGGCAGGGTACCTAAGAAGACACTGGCAGGAAGGGGGTAGCTGGGGCCCTCCCCCAAAGCTGGTGCAGAAACCAGGTCCTGCGAAGGGGGTCAGGTGGGGGTTGAGTGTTCAGGGAGGGGACAGCCCAGGTAGGAGGTAGGAGCTAAGCACCAGGGACCAAAAATTGACAGCAAGGACCCTGGAGTTAGGCTGCCTGGGTTTAAATCCAGGTGCCACCACTCACCAGCCACATGCCCTTGGGCAAATTACTTAGCTTCTGGTGCTTCAGCTTCCTCATCTGAAAAGCTGTCATAGGCTGGCTGTGAGAATTGCATTCATTAATCCACGTAGAGCACTTAGCTCTGTGAATGTGAGCTGCTCTTAGAGAGGGGAGGCGGAGATCAGCGAGGCCAGCAGGCAAAGGGAGCACCCTGTACCAGGGAAGGGGTTCCCATGGGCTTCATGCACACATACACTTACCCAAACTCAGACTCAGCCGGGCCCCCACTGGCATCCCACTCCTGGGCCTGGTTCTGTGGCACACACTGTCCCCAGCTTCCTCCCTTCTTCTCCCCATGCCTGATGCCCTGCAGGGAGAGAGGGCTCCAGCTCCTCTCCTTTCACCCAGCCCTGGATGCCAAGTCTGGGCCCTGCTCCATTGCCAGGTCCTGTGTCCCTGGTGTACGCTGGCTGTCACGAGCCTTCCCCACCCCCAGGAGGGCCTCAGCTGCCCATCAATAAATGCTGAGAGAGCTGTGCCATGACCTTGCTGCTGCTGTCCTCTTATCCACCAGCTATTTACCCAGAGGTCATGGACTCTCCCCTCTAGGCTAGGCCAGGCCAAACTCCCAGCCAGTCTCCCTTCCCACCTGCCAGAGGCGTCTCTGGTGGTGACTGGGTGTCAGTGGGTCAGCTCTGCTTGTGCTCACTTACTGTGTGGCCTTGGGCAAGTTGCTGCCCTTCTCTGGACTTCAGTTCCCTCAGCCACAAGAATCAGAGGCTGGCCAGCACAGATTCAAAGACTGTTCTAGACCTGGGCAGAGACATCGAATGGGGCGGGTGGTTAAACAGAACCAGACAAGGCGTGGAACCTGCCTAGCTCGGCCTCGGCAGAGCCGGTGCTGGCACAGCCCGCTGGTTCAGAGTGAGCTGAGAGTCAAGCAGATCTGGTTTGGATTCCTGTGTTGCCTTGCTGTGACTGTGGGCAAGTGACCTCATTTCTCCAAACCTCAAATTCCTCCGCTAGAAAAGGGGATAATAGTCCCTAATGACAGCACCTAACACTCACAGGGCTCTTGCTCCATGCCAGGCACTGTTCTGAGCACTTTACAAGGAGTCATTTATTTAATCCTTACAATAACCCTTGAGATTGGTATTCTTACTGTCCCTCCCCACTTTGTAGATGGGGAAACTGAGTCACAGAGGTGTTAACTGACTCACATAGCTAAGAAGCAAGTGAGTTGGGATTTGATGCAGGCAGGCCGGCTCCCTAAGTCTTCCCCCATCACTGAGCTGTGGGACCTCTTAGGAGAGACGGTGAGCTCTGTCCGCCACGTGAGGACACAGGAAAAGACAGCCAGCGTAAACCAGGAAGAGAGGCTTCACCAAGAACACACTAAGCTGGCACCCTGACCTCAGACTTCTCCAGCCTCCAGAGTGGTGAGAAATAAATCGTAAGCCAGGAAAAAGGAAAAAGAAGAAAGAAGCGATAGTGAATACTAAAAGGCTTAATAAAAGCCTGGCACATAGTAGTGGCTCAATAATCATTGAACATTAGGCTGGGCGTGGTGGCTCCCCCCTGTAATCCTAGCACTCTAGGAGGTCAAGGCAGGAGGATCACTTGAGGTCAGGAGTTCAAAACCAACCTGAGAAAGAGTGAGACCCCATCTCGACTAAAAAGAGAAAAAATTAGCCGGGCGCAGTGTGTGCCTGTAGTCCCAGCTACTTGGGAGGCTGAGGCAAGAGGATCACTCAAACCCAAGAGTTTGAGGTTGCAGTGAGATATGATGATGCCACTGCACTCTAGCCCGGGCAACAGAGCGAGACTCTGTCTCCAAAATAAAAAAAAAATAATAATTATAATAATTGAACATTTAATAATAATAAATGTAGTCAACTTTATTACTGTTACTGTTATTCTCCCATTCCTCCTAAAGTTCTTTCTTGATCTGCCAATAAGAAAACCATCTGGGCTCCAACCACCCCAGGTTGGAGCATGGAAGGACCTGAATGGGACCCTCCCCTTGCCACCCTTCTGTCTGTCTGGCAAGCTGAGGGGAGGGATGTTTGCACAGATGTGTGGCCCAGGGTGTGCAAATAGTCAGGGGTGGGGGAGTGCTGGAAAATTCCTGCACCACCAGGGCCAGCCCCTGACTCCCCACATCTGCTAGAGGACTGGGCTCCTGGTTCTGAGATTCCTTCTGTCTAGCCCTCTTTCCTTCTTTTGAGTTGCAAGGGGCCTCTCCTCTGGGGCTAGGGAAATGGAGACCCCTCCTATGGCCTCCCCCTCCCAATTCTCCCCACTTCCACCCCAGGGGATCTCTCAACCCCATCCTCAAAAATCCCAGTAATGCAGTGGCAATTAAAGTTACCTTAAATATTCTAATCTTAAAACAATTTTGCTTCAATCAACATCTAAATGTGACCACATGTGCCCAGACCACCCAGTGGCCTGGTTGATGTGTATGTGTGTGTATGGGGGGGGTAACTCTAGGAGAATGGAAGGCAGAGGGTCCAGTTCTAGAAGGGTTTCCTGGGGGAGAGGTCTGGTGGTCAGTAGGTCCTTCTCTCTACTTTCTCCAGGCCTGCCCACACTGAGCAATCCTTCCCCTCTTCACTTTCCCTGGGCAGCCCAGGAAGCCCGGCAGGCCCTGCACCCTCTCCAAGGCAACTGGGCTGGGGGTGGTGCTCCCCAGGCAATGGAGGCCAGGGGGCTTCATTGGGGTTGCACACAGCTCCCTACTCACAAGGGTTCATGCTCTGCTGGGTCATCTTAAAATTCATAATAATTTCTGGCCAGGTGCAGTGGCTCACACCTGTAATCCTAGCGCTCTGGGAGGCCGAGGTGGAAAGATCGCTTGAGGCCAGGAGTTCAAGCCCAGCCTGAGCAAGAGCAAGACCCCCGTCTCTACAAAAAATAGAAAAGTTAGCAGGGCGTCGTGGCGCAAGCCAGTAGTCCCTGCCACTGGGGAGGCTGAAGCGGGGGGGTCACTTGAGCCCAGGAATTTGTGGTTGCAGTGAGCTGTGATGATGCCACAGCACTCCAGCCCAGGTGACAGAGTGAGACCTTGTCTCAAAAAAAAAATTCATAATTTCTGAGCTAGGGACCCCATATTTTCATTTTGCACTGAGCCCCATAAATTATGCAGTTGGTTTTGGTGGAGGCCCCCTCGACCACACACCCCTCTCTCTATAGGCCCCTCCCACCCCACACTCACACTCAGACAACACCCAATCAATAAACATCTATTAAGCACTGACTTTGTTTTGACAACTTGTGCTAAGACGCTTGAGGATACAGTGATGAATGACGTAGACACACCCCAATTTCCCAAAACGACCCTCCCTGCACATTCAGACACTCACATATCCATACAGTGGTTTTGCAAGACGGTTCCCCCATAATATTCATGTTAATCATAACTACCAATTAGGGAATACTCAGCATATACCAGGAAATTTATGTGCATTGTCTTGTTTCATCCTCAAAACAGCCAGAGAGGAAGGCACTATGATTCCCATTCTCCAGATGGAAAAACTGAGGCTCGGAGGTCAAATCGTTTGTCCAGTGCCATATGCCTAATAAGTAGCAGAGCCAGGACTTGCAATTGTCCCTCATTTTCAACCTCTGCCCTTGCCCTACATTGCATTCAGGGGTCTCCCCACGGGCAGAAGTTCCCAGCAGGGAGGGTTGGGGGCTAGGTCACCTCTACATCCTCAGTATTTCTGTTAAAGGAAAGAATTCACACAGAGACACATTCCCTAGGGAATACAAGGAAACAGACACACACTGAAACACAAAAACATACATAAGTAGCATATAGTGTATGGATAAGAGCTTTGTGTTCAAGTCCTGAATCTACCATGTACTACCTGTGTACCTCAGTGTCCCCATTTGCAGAATGGTGGCAGGGTTCTGATTGTTAAATGAGAACTATAGGTGAGGGCCAGGCACAGTGGCTCATGCCTGTAATCCTAGCATTCTGCGAGGAATGCGAGGATTGGGAGGATCCCTTGAAGTCAGGAGTTCAAGACCAGCCTGAGCAAGAGTAAGACCCAGTCTCTACAAAAAATAGAAAAATTAGCTGGGCGTGGTGGTGCATGCCTGTAGTCCAGCTACTAGGGAGACTAAGACAGGAGAATCACTGGAGCCCAGGAGTTTGAGGTTGCTGTGAGCAAGGCTGATGCCACGGCACTCTAGCCCAGGTGACAGAGTGAGACTCCATCTCAAAAAAAAAAAAGGAAAAGGAAAACTATACGTGAAGTGCTTAGACTTGTGCAGGCACACAGACGCTCTGCAATAAGGACTAGCTATTGCTGTGGATAACATTGGTCGACACTCACTCCATGTGCCCTAATGCCCATGCGGACCATCCTCCCACCATGCCTCCCACTCTCTCCTAGCCTCCCCCAGCCACAGATGCCCTCATGGCTGACACTCTAGGCCCCCAGAGCCAGGAGGAAGGAGCAGCTGCTTCTTTGCATCTCCCTGGGCTGTACCTGGGCCAGCCCACGAGAACTCCTCCCCAGCTCTGGGTTCCATCAGAGAAGGCTTCCTGGAGGAGGCCTTTACCCAAGCTGTGTAAGGGAGCCAGGTGGAGGCAGGAGGGTGCTGCCCTGTGCCCTGGCTTCTTCCATTGCTCTTTACAATACCCCCAACCGCTGCTGCAGCGCCTTCCCTCCACCCCCTTCCCCACAGTAGAAACTTTCCTTTCTCCTCCAGCCAGAGTGTAAATTGCCCCCAGGAATGCACTAAGTCCCATGGCTCCCCTGGCAATGGCCTGCGGCTGTCCTGGGGTCAGGCCTGGCCTTACATCAAAGGCTGGGGATCATAACAGAGTGGCTCCTTGCCTGCCGCCACCCTCCCCTCCGCCCCTCTCCCCTACCACCGGCCCTTTGGCTTCCAGGGAACAGCACATGGTAGCACTTAAGCTCAGGGAGGATGCTTTTCCTGCACCCCCACCCCCCACCAGCCACAATGAACTACTTGTTAGGAGACTATTTTAATTTTACTTAATGCAATTTCTGCTCCCAGGGCCTCTGTTGCCACCCACTTGTTGGACATGGATACCCAGTACAAATGTAGGGAAGGCCAACCCCCTAGGAGAAGGTGTAACCTGGGTATGGAAATTTCACTGGTATTGGGGTTCTGAGGCAGGGAGAAGACTGTTACATCACGGGAATGGGGCTGGTGCTCTGTCTTCCACTCAGGAAGTAAGGGGCGTTAGTTAGGGGAGGGCTCAGGGCCAGCCTGTGCTACTCAGGAGGCCAGTATGAGAGTATGGGGCCAGACATCCTTGGCTAGTGTGCTCTTCCAGTGCCCTGGGTTCAGTAGCCAGGCGCTTAGCCTGGCAACCATGTGAGCTTTGCTTTCGGGTCCCCTAGGGGTGACTGGAGGAGGGGGACACTTCCAGGCTCTGCTCGGTCTCTGAGATTTGCTTCATCAGGTGCATATTCTAGCAGATTCTGAAAACCAGGGCTCCAATGGTCACTCTCCAGGATAGTACGGTGGTAATCTGGAGACCCCTGGTGGCCAAAGGCTGAGCTGCTTTTTCTTAGTGCTTCACCCAGCCAGCCCAAGGTCCAAAGGACACCAGCATGGACTCCTCCAGCCCCAGGCTCCCTGGAAACCCTCCTCATTGGTCAGCCTCTCCCACATAGCCAGGCACCCCTGCCCCTCTTGCTGGGAGGGAATGGGATGGCCTGGGGGCCATCTCAGGCTCACACTCAAAGTAAGGCAGGAGGATATGTAATCTACAATTACTTACAGGGGTGGGGGGCCAGGAAGTTAGGTTGCTGGGGCTTGTTTGGCTCATTTGGGCAAGGTGATGAGGTGGTGTTCCAAACAGCTGCACAGTCCCCAGCCCAGTCCCTTCTCTTGGCCTGTGGTGCACATCACACACTTGTGGGGCTGTGACTGGGAAAAGTCACTAAGGGGTCTTTGTTTCCACAGCTCGCTAACCCTGTCATGTTGCCCAAGTTTAACTCTGGGAAAGGAAATATCCAAAACCTCACGCCATACAAACGGCTGCTCGAAAGTAGGTTGTGGTACAGGGAGGAGAGGAAAGGCGAGGCCCCCCTGGAGAAGGGAAAGGGTGGTGCAGCTCATTTTTTTTTTTGGCCAGGTCCAGACACTCCACAAAGCTTTCCATGTCTGGTCCCCAATATTCATCCCTTAACCTCCTTTATTCATTCACTGGGACTCTAGTGTGACTGGACCCAGCCCTATACTTGGTGCTAAGGACACAGCTGACCAAAATGGGGTGCCTGCCCTGGGACTCCGGAGGGAGAGGTAAAAAGGCTCAGAGGATGGGATCCCAGAGCAGGGATGAGTCTTCCTGTACTTGGGGACACAAATGACCAACCATCCTTCCTCCATGGTGGCCTAACCCAACCAGAGGAGTCAAATTCTGTGCAAACTGCCCCCTCCCACCCCAGGAGTCTCAGAACCCTGGTCCTACCCTTGTACAACCAACACACACTTCAACCACAATCATCTATAACTGGTTCCTCTCATTCAGGCCTGCCTACTAACCTGGGGAAGGCCGGGGACCCTGTTTCCCTCCAACCACCTCAGTGACTGGACTAGGCTGTCCCCAAGAACAGTGCTACCAACTATGGCCTGGTACAATCCCTGTTTCCTCCCTTGAAAAGTTATCCTAAGCTCTGTTAGGCTGAGAAAGGGAGCTGTAAGCCTGCTCCCCTCCTTTCCCAAAGTGCTAACCAGGCATAAGAAGAGAAATGTTAAGAGCATGGGCTTTGGAGTTTGGTCCAGCTTTGAACCTTAGCTTCTCTACTTACTAGCTATATGACCCTGGGCGACTTGTGGCCTCCCCTCTAGAAATGGAATAATTGTGAATCAGATGATGCATACAAAGTGTTCAATACAGTGTCTAAGTAATAAGTGCTCAATAAAGGGTAGCCCAACACCAGGGTTTACATGACCTTTCTAGCCAAACTTTCCAACTTAGTGGCCAAGAGCCCAGGGTAGTCCATTTTAGACAAGTCTGGGATAATGGTCTGCTTCTAGATTTTGCTACAGACACTAGAGCCAAAAATGACTCTGAAGGGGCTTCAGTTGCTTGTATTGGCTCCCAGGCTTCCCAGATTCTCTGGCTGGGGGAGAAGCCATTGCAAAGAAAGGCAGGGCCCAGGAACCTACTGGTTCTCCTGACACCATTGTAACAAAATTCCTGGGGCTGAGCAGAAAGAAAACAGGACATGATTGGGATTTCACTCAAGAATGTGTCTTTATTGAAGAATTTGTAAGAAAAAAGGATGGACCCTCTGTAAAAAGAGGAGATGTTGCCTCCAAACAGCAGGAAGGAATGAGAGCTGGGTGGCTTCCCAGAAGTCAGTGTTTCCAGCATAACTGGCTCCCCTTTCCTGGCAAATACTACAGCATGTCACACTACAGCTAGCAATTCTTGTCCACCCCCCTCCCAGCCCCTCTTTCCTCCACCCTACAACCCCAGATTCCTTATAGCCATTTGCCAATGGCTTTCTCAAGACCCAAGGATAGATGTGCCAGGCTTGCCTCTTAATGGGGTCAAAGTGGATTTTGTTTTGGAAATTCGAACAGGAATGTAAAATGATTTCAGCTCTTTCTAGTCCAACCAAGGATGATGACATCCAGCCTCTTTGAAGGGAAAAGAAGCAAAGAATTTCCCTCTTGAATGTGCACACGTAGGGTAAAGGGACTGTATCAGTCTGCTCTTTATTAGCATGGAAAATGGAAACAAGGTTAGAGGAATATACAACATCCGTGTTGAAGAGTCACTGAGTTCTAGAAGGCAGAGTGCACAGAGGCTTGCTGATTCCCATAAGTGCTCCTGCTGGCTATCCTCAAGTCCTGGGGGTGGTTATTCCTCTCCAGCTGGGAGATTGTCCTCAATCCGCCTGATGAACCTCATCCGGATTTCTGTCACACCGTCTCCTTTCAGGGTGTCCTGGACAAACTTGGCCTCCACAGCCATCTGGACCTGGAGGACAGTGGAAAAAAGAAGGGGCAGCTGCCTAGCCACAGCCTCTGGAGAACCACTGAGGACGGGGCCATAACTGACTCACCAATACCAGCCCAAAAACCGGTGCTGGTTTCCCACAAGGACAAGATTGCTAGCTCCAAGGTTCCCTTGCAGAAGTCAGTGACCCTGACCCATAAGGAGAAACTTAGCAAAGAATACCCAAGAATAAGACTGTCACCAAATAAAACAATCTCAGAACAGATGTTCCTGGGCTTTGGGGGCTGACAGCACCACCTCCCAGCCTAGCAGGGAGGATCACCACCATGAACAGACATCCAACTTGAATCCTATCTCAGCAGCTCACCACCTCAGGCAGCAAAGCACTGGCGTGAGCCAAAGGCCTTTCTTTTCACTCTCTCTCATTCATTCAAACATTTAACAAGCTGCTACTACATTTCAGGTGTCCCAGAGGTAAAGAGCTGCACTCACCATCTCTAAGGCTCCCCGCAACACCCCACACAAGAGATTGGAATAAATAAGGGATGAGTGGTTATCAGGAAGTTCCACAAAGTCCACCAAGGGGTTATTTTCCAAAATGAGGGAGAATTCGTCACCAGCTGGGCTCCAATTAGTAATGCTTGGAGTGATGCCCAAGTACATCTTGAACGCCACCTGTCAGGGGACACACAACAGCACTTTGGGGAAGAGTAGCCGGAAATGCACAAACAGGAAGGTGATAGAATTGGCAAAGGGGAAATAAGTGGCTCAGGAACAAAACTGTGGGCCCTGTAAGATGATGAAGCTTTAGAAATTCAGGGCCAAAAGGGAGATGCATCTCCCTTACTACCCCTCTCCTTTAAGGCATCATGCAATGAAGCAACAACTCACTGTCTGCCTGCACATCTCAGCAGAAGGGAGCACTGATCTCACAGGAGTGGACGCCCCGAACCAGCACCAAATGCAGAGGCCCTGACCCATTTCCCTGTCCTGCCTGTGCTACCTGAACCCACTTTCGTAAAAGTGAATATAGCTCACTGGGGCAGAATTACTCTGAAGACATCCTTCCTTATCTACCTTCCTAATTCTACTTTTTTATTTTTTGAGACAGAGTCTCATTCTGTCACCCGGGCTAGAGTGCCATGGCATCAGTCTAGCTCACAGGAACCTCAAACCCCTGGGCTCAAGGGATCCCCTGCCTCAGCCTCCCGAGTAGCTGGGACTACAGGCATGCACCACCACACCTGGCTTATTTTTCTATTTTTAGTAGAGACATGGTCTTGCTTTTGCTCAGGCTGGTCATGAACTCCTGACCTCAAGCGATCCTCCCACCTGGGCCTCCCAGAGTGCTAGGATTACAGGCGTGAGCCACTGCGCCTGGCCTCACCTTCCTAATTCTAAACCCTCATAAAGCTTTCTCCACTGTCAACCTTCTTGAAGATTTGGGTGTGGCTAGCATGCTTACAACACAAAGAACCAACCTTTAGGTAACTGACACCACTTATTTATTAATGCTATAATACACAGCACCAATATTAATAGTAAACATTACTATATGCACAACACTATGCTAAGTGCATTTGTTTTACCTGAATGCTCGTGTCCATTATTCATTTACTCCTTACAATAACCCTATGAGGTAGCCCTTATTTTCTTCATTTTAAAAATGAGGTAACTGGTTATTAAAGAAATTAAAAGTAACTTACCTAAGAACCCAGAACTAGTAAGTACTGGAGCCAGAGTTTAAAGCCAGGTTTACCTGAGTATGTATTCTTTTTTTTTGAGACAGAGCTCTCGCTTTCTTGCCCAGGCTAGAGTGAGTGCCGTGGTGTCAGCCTAGCTCACAGCAACCTCAACTCCTGGCTCAAGCGATCCTCCTGCCTCAGCTCCCACGTAGCTGGGACTACAGGCACGAGCCACCATGCGCCGGCTGATTTTATATATATATATTAGTTGCCAATTAATTTTTTCTATTTTTATGGTAGAGACGGGGTCTCACTCAGGCTGGTTTTGAACTCCTGACCTTGAGGCAATCCGCGCCCGCCCTCGGCTCACCAGAGTGCTAGGATTACAGGGGCGTGACACTGCGCCGGGCCTGAGTATGTATTCTTAATCCCCATACTACTCTGCTATACCTTCACAGTGAAAGAGAACTGGCTTTGATTTCAGTGGGGCTTTAATCCACAGGATGATCTTAACCACTCTCCCCTTTCTTATAATCGTGCTATTTCCTAACTACCAGGAAGGCTTCTTTGGCCCAAAGAGCTGCCTAATCAGTCTTTTGGAAGATTAAGGCCTCTCTAAGGGAGACAGAATGGTCAGCAGTGCCTCCCAACAGCAATCCTTCAGCACAGACAGGTGGCCCAGGATAATGACCTTGGCAATGACATCTGCAGTTTCCCGAAAGTCGTGGCACCTCCCAACATTTGACCGTGCCAAGAAATCTTCAATCAGTCGGACTCCAATATTATAGCCCCTGGGAAGGAAATTAGAGAACAGACTATTATGGGGTCTAAATGTCTTATGTCTAAACATAAAAAAGGTCGTTGGTGGTAAAAGGAAAATGGGGATAATCTTAAAACATCCCAATAAATGTGCTCAGTGGGAATTGTACCCAAAATGTTGGCTAAGAAAGAGAGAGGACCCTGTTTGGGGCTCTAAAGGACAAATGTAGATGCAATGTGCTGGGGGGCGTCATTCTTGTCTCTCCTGCAAAGGAGATCACTCACATTTTGTCCAGCTGTTTATTCACGTCTTCATCATTTTCATAGTCCTTGCACAGCTGGGTGACCAGAGCCCCATAGGTCAAAGTGAAGAGCTCAGAGCTCTAAAAGAGATTCAAAAGGCAGTCAGGACCAAGGGGTACAAAAGACAAAGTGTGTTGAGAGTCTGGATCAGCATTGATGCAACCATCAGGATTCAAAGGAAGGTCACCTGTGTCTGGAGGAAAAAAACATCACCCCTTGTGGAGTAGCTATGAAATTTGGCCCTTCCGAGGTCAATATGACAGAGCTGCAGCCAGACCTACTGCAAAATGGGCTGTAAGAAGCACACTGTGCACTGAACTCTTCTAACATGCCAAGGTAGGCTTCTGCCAACCCAAGTCTCCACCATAGTTCCAAGCCTAACTAAGCTCGGGTCACCAGAATCTGGTGAAGGAGTAGCAGTCATTCAGTAGCTACTGTGAGAGACAGACCTGAAGCAGCCATTTACAAACTAGCCTTTGTGTGTTAGCAGCTGTGACCAATGACTTCCCGACACCTTAGAATGCCATGGTGTAGAGTTAAACTGCATTTCCAAGGCCCCACCGAGGAGCAACAGTCCATGGGGAAGGAAGGAAGTCCCAAAGTTCATTGCACTGATGACAACCCCTCTCCAAAGTAACCAGAGTGAGAAAAAATAATGTTCCTATTGACATATAGCTAAAATATTTCCAGGAAAGGTGATGACTTTGGAAAGAATACAATCTTTTGTGTACCTGGAACACAATACTGACCCGAACTGTTCAGATAAAGAATCCTGTCACCTACCTACCAAGAAACAGAGAGATGTGGAAGGTGAAAGGAACTGACCAATACTAAGACTACAGAATAAAAGCAGTAGGCAGGGAGGAAAGGCATTATCAGATTTAAAGGGAGAAACATGTTAACAGTGCATTATACCAGCGGATTCACTCAGAAGTAAGGCTGAAAAATTGAGACTGCCACCCAATGACTCCCTTCTGAATGGGGAGGCTTGTCAGTCTTGGAGCAAAGTACCTTTCTGTCTTCAACTTTTCTGGGGAAAAAAGTCCAAGAAATGTTAAGGCCCAGGATCTCAGAACCCAATGCTCTCCTGACCTCAACCCCATTGCCTGCAAGAATAACAATTTGAATGCCTTTTTATTACATACCACATTTTACTTTTCATCATCTCATTTTCCATCTCACAATAATTTAGTAAAGTAGAAAGGGAAGGAATTAATCCCACTTTAGAGATGAGAAAACATAGATCCAGAATGGTTACATAATTGGTTAATTATTGGCAAAAGTAATTTGGGGAAACAAAACCCAAAGCTTTTCAAGCCAATGGTCATTTTATCCACCGTTCCCCACAAGTGCATATTAATAAGCCCCACCCCAAATAAAAACAAAAACAAAAAATATCAAAAAAAACGTAGCTGTACTAGAGTCAAAGAAAACCAGTTTCAGGATCAGGAGGCCCTTTGAACTCAACTAAAACAGTCAGATCAGGTTGTCTCCAAGAGACTATTTACCAAATATGGCAATTAAAGGGAAGCTATTAAGGAGGGGAATTATTTTTTTAGTAAAGTCAAGAGCTTGGCACTAGAATGGCTTGGGTATGAATGGATGGAGACAATCCAGCAGTTACCAGTCCAGAGAGTTGGCACCACTGCATTAAATCAGAAGAACTTTCTTTCCATTATTAATGAGCCCTTGGATGGGGACTCCAAGAGTCTCAGCCCACCACAATGCCAAATAACATGCAAATCATGATGTTATCAAGCATCTTATACATGCAGCTGCCCTCAATTTACCAATAAGAAAAATCAAGGTTCTGGACAGATTTGTTGGTGGTCACAGAATCAATTTGCCTGGGATCTGAGAATGGGATCCCTGACCCAGGCCTTCTAAACTCTCTCTTAATTTGCAAGCCTGTTTCCATTTTCAATTATAAACCAAGCCTATTTGGAACAGTGAATGACATAAATACATAAGTTAAAGGTCTTCATACTTTAAAAATAGAAGTGGTGCTATGGGCCGGGCGTGGTGGCTCACGCCTGTAATCCTAGCTCTCTGGGAGGCCGAGGCGGGCGGATGGTGTTGAAGTTCAGGAGTCTCGAAACCACCTGAACGCAACGAGCGAGACCCCCGTCTCTACTATAAAATAGACGAATAATAAATTGCGCCACTAATATCATATACGTATATACAAAAAAATTAGCCGGGCACGATCCGGGGCACCATGCCCCTATCAAGTCCCCAGCCTTACTCGGTAGGCTGAGGCCAGAAGGATCGTTGAGCCCCAGGAGCTCTTGAGGTTGCGTGTGAGCTAGGCTGACCCCCCACACTCCACAGCTGGGCAAACAAAGTGAGGTCTTGTCCCACAAAACAAAAAAAAAGCGTGGGCGTGGGCGTAAGAGGAACAAAAAATAAAACATCATCTCATGTCAACATTTACCAGCCGATACCACGGCTATCTCAAAATAAACAAAATAGTTACTGCCAGCCAATAAATAAAATACCATGATTCGGCTGGGCCCAGGTTCTGCACTACGCTCGTAATGCCCCGAGCATCTTGGCGGCTGCTTGAAAGCCAGATAGCTCCAAGACCCAAAGCCTGAGGACCACCAACATAGCAAGACCAACCGTCTATATCAAAAAAAATATTTATAAAATTAAAACCTGGGTATAAAAAGGGTGGGAAGCACAACATGTTCAGTCACCCCAGCTAACTAACAGAAGCCTGTAGAGCAAGAGAACTCACTAATATGAGCCCAGGAGTTCCAGGGTGCAGTGAGCTTTGTTCATGCCACTGTATTCTAGCACTGCACAACAGAGTGAGACCCTGTCTCCATAAAACAAAAAATACATGATTTGCCAGATGGTGATAGGTGCTATGGAGAAAATTAAAGCTTGGAAGATTAGGAAGCATTTATCTTCACATATATGTATTGGGAGGGGGTTAATTTTAAATAGAGTAGTCAGGGAAGGCCTCACGAAGGTGATATTTGTGCAAACACAGGAAGGAGATAAGAGTAAGCCAAGAAGATATCTGGGTGAAAAATTCTACACAGAAAATGTAAGGGCCTGAGGTAGGAGTATGCCTGACTGGTTTGAGAAACAGCTGAGACCATTGTCACTAGAGAGCAGTAAGCAAGAGAGAGGACAGAAGAGGAAATCAGAGAAGTAACCAGGAGGTTACAGTCTGAAAACCTGGGTTTTCAGCCCTTGTGACCTTTATAACAAAAGCTCCCATGGTGCGGTGGCTCACGCCTGTAATCCTAGCACTCTGGGAGGCCGAGGCAGGAGGATGGCTTTAGCTCAGGTGGTCAAGACCAGCCTGAGCAAGTGTGAGTCCCCATCTCTATTTTAAAAAAAAAGTTCCCATGGGACCATAAAGGTCAGCTAGTTCAATCAGCCCCATTTCTTCACTGAACATAAGCATGACATTCCCCTTACCAACAGAAACATGAATCTCTCCTGCACCACTTCTATTTTCATATTAGTTTCTCATAACAACCATGAGAGGCTAGCAGAACAAACATTATTTATTCCCATTTTATAGATGACAGGTTAAAATAACAGACTCAACAGCCTTCTTATAGTTGAGTACTGTCCTGTACAGCTTTATTATCAAGAGCCATTGCTTAATCTCCCTGAACATCAGTTTTTCCCATCTGTAAAATGGTGACAATACTATCTGCCTTTCAGAGATATTGTGCAATTCCAATGAGATGTTTGTAGAGCACCTGCTGCACAGTAAATGTTCAAGAAATAGATATTATTATTGTTATTTTTAAACTGGTTCTGTGTGGTGTGGAGCCAGAGAGCACCCTGAACTAGGTTCAAGGAGAGTAATAAGGAAAGAGACTTTGAATCAATATAAAGAACTTTCTAACAAATAATAAGGCACATAAAAAGAAAACTGGGTTTGTAGTCAGAAAACCAGATTCTGAGTCTGAACTTGCTATTTAAATATCTGTGAGACCTTAGGTAAATCAATTCACCATGCTAGCTTCCATCTCTTCACACATAAAGAGTTAACAGTGCAATCTGTCATGCCAATCACAAGGTTGTCAAGAGAATCTAATGAGATAATGGAGCTGAAGATGCCTTGCAGACAAGAAACCAAAGGAATTACGGCAGCTATGCCAACATGATCTCCCAGTACTGGAGCAGAGTAAATTAAACCAAGCTCTACACTCAGGTGAGCCACCACTTGATGGTTTTCAGAATGCCTTTCAGTTAGTGCCCCAAACAAAACATCAAATGTCCTTAAAGGGGCTGATCTTTTTTTTTTTTTTAGCATATTATGGAGGTACAAGTGTTAAGGTTACTTATATTGCCCATGCCCCCCTCCCTGCTTGAGTAAGAGCTTCAAGCATGTGAAGGGGCTGATCTTTAGAGCTAATGCGCTAAGACTTTTGTTTCATCAAAACAGATAATCCAGTGTGAACACCCTCTAGCAGCTGGGAAAGAAGGATCAGTAAGAAACCTTGGTGCAAGGCCGGGTGCCGGTGGCTCACGCCTGTAATCCTAGCACTCTGGGAGGCTGAGAGGCTGAGGCATGGCGGATTGCTCAAGGTCAGGAGTTCGAAACCAGCCTGAATAAGAGTGAGACCTCGTCTCTACTATAAACAGAGAGAAATTAATTGGCCAACTAATATATTTAGAAAAAATTAGCCAGGCATGGTGGTGCATGCCTATAGTCCCAGCTGAGGCAGAAGGATTGCTTGAGCCCAGGAGCTTGAGGCTGCTGTGAGCTAGGCTGACACCATGGCACTCACTCTAGCCTGGGCAACAAAGCGAGACTCTGTCTAAAAAAAAAAAGAAAAGAAAAGAAACCTTGGTGCAGCCCTCTCTCTTACCCTCCAGCCTCCTGTTGTGGAGGCCCTAAGTGCTGCTACTTAAGTAATAAACTTGTCTAAACTCTGGAGAATAGACATGGAGGTTGGATTACCAGTAATAACACAACAGAAGGGCAGGACTCATCTGTGGGATTCAAGAGCCAACACTATTCAGACACATGCACAGTAATAGCTTTATTAACAAGGATGCCAGTTGACACTGAGTGTCAACTATGTTCTAGGTACACTGTTACACTGCACACTTTACATGCATTCTCTGAATCCTCAGAACCACCTCATAATATAGGTTCTATTATTACCTCCTTTGAAGGTGATGCTCAGAACAATGCAGAAACATCCCCAAGGTCACACAGCAATTAAGTGCTGAAACCAGTACTCAGTCCCAGGCAGTACTATACCTCTCCATGTGTATATTTCTGTCACCCTCACAGACTGTGTGCTTCTCAAAGTTAGGGACTAGGATTTCATCTCTGCACGTCTCACAGCCCCTAGCACAGAGTGTTGCATATAGCTGGGGCTCAGGAAAAGTTTACTGGACAAATGGGCTGTTGCTGTTTGCACAGACTAAAAGCGGAGATCTAGTTACTTGGGCATATTAACCCTTTAGGTCTTGGAAGGCTTAAGTGGAACATAATAATTAGCAGGTTAGGCTGATTGGGAAGAGGGCTACTCAAGGGGTAGGCTCCCCAAGCAGAGAAGAGAGGAGCATGTCAAAAACTGGTGGCCACAAAGAGGATCAGGTCACAAGCCCTAAGTAGACATCAGTAGGAAATGAATGAAAAGATGAACTCAAACCTTCATTTCATTCATTCGACAAATACACACTGACTGCCTAGTACCAGGCATCGTTCTAAGTGGGGAACTGGAGTACTGAACAAAACAAATCCCTGCCTTCAAGGAGTTTACATTCTCATGGGAGGAAACTGATAATAAACAAGTTAATATGTAATTTATAATGAAACATCGTTTTTTGGGGGGTTTGTTTGAGACAGAGTCTCGCTTTGTTGCCCAGGCTAGAGTGAGTGCCGTGGCATCAGCCTAGCTCACAGCAACCTCAAACTCCTGGGCTCAAGCAATCCTTCTGCCTCAGCCTCCTGAGTAGCTGGGACTACAGGCATGCGCCACCATGCCTGGCTAATTTTTTCTAAATATATTAGTTGGCCAATTAATTTCTTTCTATTTATAGTAGAGACGGGGTCTCACTCTTGCTCAGGCTGGTTTCAAACTCCTGACCTTGAGCAATCCGCCCACCTAGGCCTCCCAGAGTGCTAGGATTACAGGCATGAGCCACCTCGCTGGCCTATAATGAAATATCATATAAAGTAAAATGGACAGTGCTCCAAAGAAAACCAGCATAGAGTAAGAGTATTGAGAACTAGTCAGGTGGTCAGGGAAGGCTTCTCTGATGAAGTTTCATTTGAGTAACTGTGAATGGAGTGGGTGAGGTGACTATCTGGCTTAAGGGAGTTCTAAGCAGAGCGGACAGCAGTTGCAAGAACCTTGAGGACAGGAGTACTCTGCTGCCCCTCCCTAATTACTTCACTTCACTAAAGTGAATACTGGGGGATGGGGATGGGCTCTGCAGGTTCCTGCTAAACTGTTATTAAGATTTCAATATTGAGTTTAGTTAAAAAAAAGCACAAAATGAGAACATGATATGAAAACCAAGCAGGAAGAACTCTCTGGACATATCGTAGGAAAAAGAGGAGGGAACAAACATTTCCCATGCCCTGCACATTTTACACCATCTCATTTAATCTTAAGTAGACATTACTGTCCCCATTTTATAAAGAAGCTGAAGATCAATCAAGTAAGCCAGAATTCCAACTGATGTCCATGAGTTTTCCCCTAAATGACAGTTTCCTGGCAAAATATTCTCTTCTTTTAAACTCTTTGTATTTCCTCCAAAACACGAATTCTTAACCTGTGATCATGAAGTACTTCAGAGGGCTCACAACCGCCCCCCCATGTAAGTAAATGTTTATTTATATGTTTGTCTATTTAATATTTACTAATTAGGATATTAGCTGACACTGTCACTGTGTTTTAGGTGCACTGTTACACTGCTAGCTTTACATGTATTCTCTCAATCCTTAAAACAACCCTATAATGTATGTTATCACTACCTTCTTTATTTTTAAAAAGAAGATGGTGAAATTGATGCCCAGAAAAATGCAGAAACTTGCCCAACATCACACAGCAAGTAAGTGGTGAAACCAGTACTCAGTCCCAAACAGCAATATACCCTGTGTTGTGTACATTTCTGTCTTGATATTTAAATTTGCCTATTTAATATTTCAGGGAAGAAGGTCCACAGCTATCATCCTCTTCTCAAAAGGAGTCTGTGAGAGAAAAGGTTAAGTACTACACTGGAGTAAAGAGCTTCCTGCAGCCCATTTGTGGAGGCTTTTCCTAGTGTAACATGCAAAGGTGTGAGGGAAGGCTGATCATTCCCTCTAGAGTGGAGTGTCAACCAAGGGTCCGTAATCTGCCTAGCATGCAACCTCAGATGCTCAATTTTTAAATTCAAAAACAAAGACACAGCATGAGCAATTCTGGAAGAAATAAGACAATGCCAGATAAAAGGAACACAAGCCAGGAAGGTCCCTTAGTTCAGAGAAAAATGACCTTAGTCTCCAGCCCCCATCCGTAGCCCAACTTTATGGGACCATATGGTGTCCTTATATTCCCTGAATAAGAAAGGAGTTGCCATCTCCCCACCAACCCCCCATTTGAGAAGAACCACTCACTGCTTACTCTGGCCCACTTCTTATTCCACTGAATACAAAGTTCCTTTCTGGCAAGACCAGCATCTCTCACAATGCCCATGCCACAGTGTGAGAGACAGCATAGCCTAACCTAATATTCTGAAGCATTAGCTTTACACTTAGAGAGACACGAGTTCAAATCCGAACTCAGATTTCTAGGTGTAAACTTGAACAAGTCATGTAAACTCTCTGAGCTGTGAAATGGTGATAACATTATCCACCTAATAGGGTTAATTTGCGGATTAAATGAGATACGGTAATGTATGTAAAGTGCTTGCCCGATGCCTAACACACAGTAAGACAGCAATAACTGGTGGTTACTGTTACTTATTACCGTCTTTTTTGTTGGCCTAGCAAAGAGCCGCACTCGGGCCTTGGGGGCGGGGTCTCCTAGGGAAGAGGGTCTCCAGGGGGAGCTACTCCAGAGGTCCTCCAACCTGCCAGAGGCCCGGGACGCCCCGGAGTGAGCCCCCAGGAGGCTTCCCCCTGCCAGAGCTCACAGGAGGGCGCTTTCCCTACCGCGCCTCGCGCTCCGCGCCGGGCCCCTGCCCCCGTACTCAGTTCCGCCCCGCCCGCCGAGGTCACGCGCTCCAAGTTACCATTTTCTTGCTCTCGGTGCCACGGTTCGCCTGCCTCGACATGGTGCCGGCTGTCCCGCCCTGCCTAGCCACAGGCTCACTCGGCGACCCTTCAGACGCCGCTCGATTTAGCCGCTGCCCCTCAGCCTTTGGGATTGACCGGCACTGAATCACTGCGCCTGCGCGGCCTGCCGCGGGGCACCACGGGACTCGTGGTCCGGCCGACAAGGGTAACTCCCGCCCAACAAACGTCGGACTACAACACCCAACAGCCCCTCTTGACAGCACCGCCTCTTGGCTCGGTCGAACTGCAACTCCCGGCATGCTCCGCGCGCCGGACTCGTAGAGCCTGGCAGCCCCCGGGCTACCTTCTGGCCGCTGGGTGGCGTCCGCTGCCTTCAGTAATCCTGTATCATCCGCACACTTCCCCTCCTCTCCTTCCCCCTACACCCGGCTCAGAGATGCTCCGCTCAGAATTCCTCTCTCGCACGGGTTGGTCTCGGAAAGTCCCTCTTTCTCGAGCTAGCTGCTTCCGCTATTGCAATTCAGCGCCTGAAGTTCCCAAGATGTCCCAGAAAACTACCAATGACTTTCACACAGATCTAGCTTCTTCATTATGCAAACATTTGATGACCACCTACTATGTGCCAAGCGTTCGCTAGGGCTTTCTCTTCAAAGAACCATCTGTTACCAAACCCCAAATGCTGCCAGCACCTGTATCCTACCACCTGTGGCCACGTGATGGAATATCCAGTCTTTTAGATAAAGTTCAAGTCTCTTTCTCCTCCTCCCTCCCCTAGAACAGCTACACTTCCAAGTTCCCAGAAAAGAAAGATCACCAACTGTGGTGGCAGACAGTCCTGAGTTCTAATCCCAGCTTTGCCATTTTAGGCAAGTTGCTGGATCTCCCTCAGTTGTTTTGAAGATTAGTAAGCATGCAGAGCACTGGGCACATAAAAGGCATGAAGTAAATGTGTGTTCCCTTCCTTCCAGCCACTCTCTACAAACAGCCTAAAAACAAGACCCAGAAACAGCAGAGAAACATGCTGGCTGAACCCTCACCCATCACCAAGGGGAAGTCGTACAGTCCCTGACCACAGCTCGTCGATTTCAGTTCCAGCCATCTCTCCTTAGCTGGCCAACTCTGAGGGGGCTGGGCTGAGGGTCCCTGAGCACCCTCTCCTCACTTAGGCCTGGTAGCGACCGCTGCATTCTAGCCCCTTAGCCTTCACCATGACAACCTGTCCGGACATGAGCCGGCCAGGCTAGGGAAGGCTGGGGGGCCCAGGCTGCTCTGGCTGAAAGCTCATGCCTGGGGCTCCCCCAGTCCCTCCCTCAGGGTGCAGGACCAATCATTATTATACCCTTCTCCCTGTGGCTTAGACATTCTGGGGCCTCCCTAGAGGCAATGACCCCTGACGACTCCTCCACTCCTCCTGTATAATGCCTGGGACTGGGGAGGGCAGGGTGGGTAGCCAAGAGCTGAGGGCTCTGGGAAGGAACATGAGGGCCAGTTGTGGGGGGAGGAAAGCAGGGTCGGCTAGCCCCCAGAGGCCAGCCCAGCTAGAGAAGCGCCTCCTGCATTCCCAGGAGGGAGGACAGCTGAGGTGAAAGCTGCAGTTGGCCAGCCTGTCTGTCGGTCTGGGCTCCTCCCTGCCGGCTGCCCTTGGCTGCCCACAGAAACCTGAGTCACAGTCACAGCCAGCCACACGACCGCACCCAGCCTGCTGTCAGGCAGGGTGGCTCTTGAGAGACTGGAGGTGGAGCCTCTCCCTGCCCATCTCCCAGCCTCTGAGATTTTTCCTTTCTCTGCCTGTGATTCCTCATCTTGGCATCTCTTTCTCTTTGAGACCCATCCTTGCAAGTGTCATCAGTCCTGAATTAAGGGAGGGAGTGGGGTCCAACTCAGGTTGATCTACACGGTCTCCTTGGTGCTCCAGTGCATACTTAAAATCTGCTTAGACAGCTGCTCCAAGGGCTCTCAGTACGGTGTCTATCATTCTCAAATCCCAAGCCTTCCCCACCACCTCTAGGGACCAGGACATTTAGGAACACCAGGCACCCCCTTCCCACCCTCATCTCCTTCTCCCTAGAAAAGAACATAGGGAAAGCCAGCTTCCTGTCCCCATCAGAGACTCTAAACAAAGACACCCTCCTAAGAACCCAAAGAGTTGAACTTATTTAGCCCTGGGTCTGAGTTCCTCTCTGCTCCCATCTCTCTCAGTTCCTCCTCCTCCCCAAGAACTGGAGGGGTAGAGGCAGCTGGTGTCACCACTGCCCTAGATGACATTCCCCCCACCCCCAGCCCCAGGGAGTGGGCCCTGGAGACTGAGGCTCCCCAGAAAAGAAAAGCCGTGTGGGTTGGAGACCTCTTCTCCTTGCAGCGCCTTCAGGGTGGGGTGGGAGTGAGAATCTGGTGAGTGTTCTCCCGTTGCCCCCACCATGAGGCCCCTCCCACTTCCGGCAGTACTTCGTGAATGTGGAGGCAGCATCCAGGCCCTCCTTCCAGAGATTCCTATCTCTGTGTCAGATCTCCCAGTGATTTCCTTCACCTCTCCATCAGGTTCATCCTGGATCCTGCCCCTCTAAGCCTAGGAGGTTATAAATGCTCTAGCTCCTGCCCTCCCGTAGGGGAATCAGGATGGGGACATTTTTCTGATCCCCATTCTTTGACCTGCCTCCAGCCCCAGCTCAGCTCCCTGGTGAGATTCACTCATGTCTGTTTCTGTGGAGGAGGAGGAGGGGCCTGCCCTGGGCCCCATGGGAGGCAACAGAGTTCCCTGCCCCTCCCTGAAGACAGCAGGGCAGGGCATGCTATTGGGGCTTCAGCCTCTGATGTTGCAAGTGCTCCACTTGCTCTTTCTCTGGGATGTCTAATGATTGTGGGGCCCTGTGGAGCCCCCATACACTGTCGGCCAGCCACAGACTCAGAGAGAGACACCCACTCTCAACTCTCTTGGTCACTGGGGCCTGGGATCTGCCAGGTATTCTGGCCAGTTAGGAGGAGGATGGAAAGGAGCCCACTTCCTCTATCTACCCAACTGCATCAATCACGGGACACACAGGCTCTTCCAGCGCCCTGTCAGCTGTCCTCCCAGGATTCCCTGTGGACCCATCAGCTGTGCAGGAAGCTTTCAGGGCTGGCCAGGAGAACTGTCCCCCAAGTTGCTTAACTCCCAGATGCCCTGTGGTCTCTAGCACCAGCATGTTTGCACGTGTGTGTGTGTGGGGGGGGGGTGCAGTGCCTCCACCCTCAGTCTAGGGAAGGGTTTCTCAACCTTGGCACCATTGACATTTTATGTCTGATAATTCTTTGTTGTGGCAAGGTGGTCCTGTGCAATGTGGGATGTTAAGAGGCATCCCTGCCTTCTATGCATTGGATGCCAGTAGCACCTCCAATTGTGACAACCAAATCATCTCTAAATATTGCCAAATGTTCCCTGGGGGGCAAAATTGCACTTGGTTGAGAACAACTGATGGAGGCTAATACCACACAGTCTCTCTGCAGTGAGCTCCCCAACATCAACCCCCGGATAATTAGACACAATAGGTTGTGTCTAAAGTACTGTTCACCCTTCCCCTGCTACTGAACCCCATGATCTTCAATAGCTCCCCATGTTGTACATTTTCGATCAATAGCATTTAAGTCTTCTACATGGGCTATCCCTGGCCTGTCTTTTCATTTTTAGCCATTGCCCCCTCCATGATTCTTGGGCTGTAGCCAATGTGGGTATCTCACTATTCCTATCCATCCATCTATTTTTTTTTTTTTTGAGACAGAGTCTCACTCTGTTGCCTGGGCTAGAGTGCCATGGTGTCACCCTAGCTCATAGCAACCTCAAACTCGTGGGCTCAAGCAATCCTCCTGCCTCAGCCTCCTCTGAGTAGCTGGGACTACAGGCATGCGCCACCATGCCCGGCTAATTTATATATATATTTTTTTCTTTTTTTCAGTTGTCTAGCTCATTTCTTTTTCTTTTTTTAGTAGAGATGGGGTCTCGCTCTTGCTCAGGCTGGTCTCCAACTCCTGAGCTCAAATGATCGGCCTTCCTTGGCCTCCCAGAGTGCTAGGATTATAGGCGTGAGCCATATCCCTGCAGTAACATCAAAACCTGGGGCGGGCCGGGCGCTGTGGCTCACGCCTGTAATCCTAGCTCTTGGGAGGCCGAGGCGGGCGGATTGCTCAAGGTCAGGAGTTCAAAACCAGCCTGAGCAAGAGCGAGACCCCGTCTCTACTATAAAATAGAAAGAAATTAATTGGCCAACTGATATATATATAAAAAATTAGCCGGGCATGGTGGCGCATGCCTGTAGTCCCAGCTACCTGGGAGGCTGAGGCAGTAGGATCACTCGAGCCCAGGAGTTTGAGGTTGCTGTGAGCTAGGCTGACGCCACGGCACTCACTCTAGCCTGGACAACAAAGCGAGACTCTGTCTCAAAAAAAAAACAAAAAAAAAAAAAACCTGGGGCGGCAGGTGGGGGAAGAACCATGGCAGAGGGCTCTTCCTCTGTTGGGTTCTGTTCCTGAATTCTCCTGAGTGAACTACCTGGTTCAGGGTGGGCCTGTCCAACTCTGGAAGAGGCAGGCCCAGAGGCCTGTGACCTCACAAAGGACCATCATGGACTCCATCATCCACATGGTTCCCCCCACCCCCCCACCTCCCGCAGATGGGATCATTGACAACAAAGATGGGGGACCTGCGCTTCATCCTAATCTGCTTTTACTTTTGAAGCTCTCTGATCATCAAAGCCATCACCATCATCATACTTATCTATTGAGCACTTTCTATATGCCAGGCTCTGTGCTGAGCACTTCATCTACATTGCCTTATTTAATCTTTACAAAGACCCTATGATTTCTCATGGAACTATTATTTTCCTGATTTTATACGTTAGCCAATTGGTTTTAGAAAAGTTAAGTCGCTAGCTCAAGGTTACAAACTCCAGTTGCAGGTCTTCTATCATCATCCGTTTCTAATGTTTTTTGGGCTGGAGGGGACACTGTTCCCTCCCCAGGCCTTCCAAAGAGGGTTTAAGCCTTTAGTTACTCACATCTTCCAAGACAGGCTGCTCCCAGGTTGCAGGAGACCTGGACCCTTTTGTTCCCCCCCCACACACACACACACAGGGTTGCTTTCTGGAGCTGCTAAAAGGAAGGAGGCCCTGGTGGGAAAGGGGGGCAGGGGGATAGCATCTCACTGGGCCTAATCTCTGGACAAAGAACTAGAG